CTGTTATAGAGCAATACATATAGCTACTTAGTTTGTTATAGAGCAATGCATATAGCTACTTAGTCTGTTACAGAGCAATACATATAGCTACTTAGTCTGTTATAGAGCAATACATATAACTACTTAGTTTGTTATAGAGCAATACATATAGCTACTTAGTCTGTTATAGAGCAATGCATATAACTACTTAGTCTGTTATAGAGCAATACATATAACTACTTAGTTTGTTATAGAGCAATACATATAACTACTTAGTCTGTTATAGAGCAATGCATATAACTACTTAGTCTGTTATAGAGCAATGCATATAGCTACTTAGTCTGTTACAGAGCAATACATATAGCTACTTAGTCTGTTATAGAGCAATACATATAACTACTTAGTTTGTTATAGAGCAATACATATAACTACTTAGTTTGTTATAGAGCAATACATATAGCTACTTAGTCTGTTATAGAGCAATACATATAACTACTTAGTTTGTTATAGAGCAATACATATAACTACTTAGTTTGTTATAGAGCAATACATATAGCTACTTATATACAATTGAAAGTATATTTTAACATTTCAAAACTACAAATTTTCATACTTAAAGTTAATGCCTTTGAAAATAAATTGACTTTCTACAATTCCAGTGGTTTTCACTCGGGTCCTGAGCACGTCTTCGTGACTAGGGATGTAATTTTCATCACAGATCCTATCTAAGGAGTTAAGGTAGCTATAAAATACAAGGAAATATTTACAATGTTTTTATATACTCAAGTCCATATTAGTGACTTGGAACAAAATAGCTTTGTAAATTGCTGAGGTTGTTTTAGAGATCAGTATAATATATTTATTTAAATATTGCCTTATTAACCATCTATGGCACCTTGCAATCTATGATTTTTCTGTGTTTATTTAATGGTTTTCAACAAATAGCATCTCATCACCCTGATTAACAAGAATATGTCCTACTCAAAAGAAGTAACTTAGTGAAGAAGATGGAACTATCTAATATTAATGAAATTACTATCTAGTATCAATGTACTTACTATCTAGTATCAATGAAATTACTATCTAGTATCAATGTACTTACTATCTAGTATCAATGTACTTACTATCTAGTATCAATGAAAGTACATTGATACTAGATAGTAACATTGATACTAGATAGTAATTTTTACTATCTAGTATCAATGTACTTACTATCTAGTATCAATGTACTTACTATCTAGTATCAATGTACTTACTATCTAGTATCAATGAAATTACTATCTAGTATCAATATACTTACTATCTAGTATCAATGTACTTACTATCTAGTATCAATGTACTTACTATCTAGTATCAATGAAATTACTATCTAGTATCAATGTACTTACTATCTAGTATCAATGAAATTACTATCTAGTATCAATGTACTTACTATCTAGTATCAATGAAATTACTATCTGGTATCAATGAAATTACTATCTAGTATCAATGAAATTACTATCTAGTATCAATGAAATTATGACCTACTGTTAATGAAATTACTATCTAATACTATCTTTTTGATGGTTATGTTTCATTATTGATTTTAAAACCACGTATCAGATATAAGATAAAATACTTCATACATGAAATAATGGATACTTTATACGACTGTGTCTTGTGTGACATTCGAGAATTATTTCTAGTTTGGTTTAAAAAAAATATAATTACACTAGCCTATTTAGCACATTCATGAACCAAATATTGTCCAACTGTTCAAATTTGAATTTATATGTTGTATTACAGCAATATTCAGAATAATTAGAAATAAAATATACAAAATGTAGCACAATTAAAATCATTTCAATTCAAAAAAGAATTAGAAATAAAAGATAAATCAACATTCATATATCATCAACATCATTTCTTACTAGGATGCTGAATCATTGAGTTGATATTCTCTTGAGCGATTATAGCACTTCTGAACGCAAGAGTCGTGCCAGAGTGTTTTCATGAGTTCAGCAATGTCTTGAGTCAGTTTTCCCTCTTCAACAGTGCTCACCAGTGTCAGAAACTGCTGTGCATCTTTCTGAAAAAAAAATGAAACCAACTTTAATCTCCTTTCAAGTGATACATTCCACACAATAGAAATACTTCATTGGATATAACTAAAAAAAAACACTTCTGTAAGTCTTCAAATTCTTTGTAACTGTCACATTATATACAATTTTCATTAAACAAATCACTACTACTACTCCAACAGATGTACATGGTACTATTGTCACTACTCCAACAGATGTACATGGTACTATTGTCACTACTCCAACAGATGTACATGGTACTATTGTCACTACTCCAACAGATGTACATGGTACTATTGTCACTACTCTAACAGATGTACATGGTACTATTGTCACTACTCCAACAGATGTACATGGTACTATTGTCACTACTCCAACAGATGTACATGGTACCTCTTGTCACTACTACAACAGATGTACATGGTACTATTGTCACTACTCCAACAGATGTACATGGTACTATTGTCAATACTCCCAACAGATGTACATTGTACTATTGTCAATACTCCAACAGATGTACATTGTACTATTGTCACTACTCCAACAGATGTACATGGTACTATTGTCACTACTCCAACAGATGTACATGGTACTATTGTCACTACTCCAACAGATGTACATGGTACTATTGTCACTACTACAACAGATGTACATGGTACTATTGTCAATACTCCAACAGATGTACATGGTACTATTGTCAATACTCCAACAGATGTACATGGTACTATTGTCAATACTCCAACAGATGTACATGGTACTATTGTCACTATTTCTACTATTCCTAGAAGCCAACAAGTACATTATTGTTACTACTTCAACAGCACTAAGAGCACTACTACATTCAGCTCAACAGACGTATAGGGCACTACAACCTCCAGTTCAACAGACAAATAGGGCACTGTTACATCCAGTTCAACAGACAAATAGGGCACTGTTACATCCAGTTCAACAGACAAATAGGGCACTGTTACATCCAGTTCAACAGACATATAGGGAACTGTTACATCCAGTTCAACAGACATATAGTGCACTGTTACATCCAGTTCAACAGACATATAGTGCACTGTTACATCCAGTTCAACAGACATATAGGGCACTGTTACATCCAGTTCAACAGACATATAGGGAACTGTTACATCCAGTTCAACAGACATATAGTGCACTGTTACATCCAGTTCAACAGACAAATAGGACACTGTTACATCCAGTTCAACAGACATATAGGGCACTGTTACATCCAGTTCAACAGACAAATAGGACACTGTTACATCCAGTCCAACAGACATATAGGACACTGTTACATCCAGTTCAACAGACAAATAGGGCACTGTCACACCCAGTTCAACAGACATATAGTGCACTGTTACACCCAGTTCAACAGACATATAGGGCAGTTACATCCAGTCCAACAGACATATAGGGCAGTTACATCCAGTCCAACAGACATATAGGGCACTGTTACATCCAGTACAACAGACATATAGGGCAGTTACATCCAGTCCAACAGACATATAGGGCACTGTTACATCCAGTACAACAGGCCTACAGAGCACTGATAGGTCAAAGAACAATGCTGAAGTCTTATTACACATCAGTTGTAGCTCAACAGTAAGTCTGAAGGCTTAATGCTAAAACCTCTGTGTTTAACAAAACAAACAATTTTTAGGAGGACGTCTCTAAAATTAGGAAAATGCAAGAAAGTGGTTAGATTTTTTGGAGAACTAAGTCATTTAAAAGTCTCAGCATACACTTATCTGTATTTTGGAAAACTGATTTTTTATAAATGTTATCTTGTATATATATAGTCAGCTAGTATTTTATCATCTTATGCACACAACAAAAACATACTTACTGTTCTGGCAAGGTTACCAAAATGAATTTTTAACTGACTCATTGCCTTAATAATAGCCACCAGACTTTGGATAGTGTTACTGTGAACAATGGGCTTGTACTGAAGAGATTCTTCTTCTGAGTATCCTCTTTCATGGATAATTCTAGATTCAGAAACTACGATGAAACTCATTGTATGAAATAAATAAAATTGATAACAATTATAAATCACTTTCTTAATCTCATTCACACCCTGAAAGTTTTATTTATAAAAACTGGTTATATATCTATATATAATGCCTATACCACTACTATACCTGGTATTGGATGAAAGGCCTCATTGGCACTTGATATAGCAGATATATTATAACATGATCTCCTTTGCTTTCATTCATGGGTTCTTAGAATTAAGTATACACTTAACAGTATTTATTTTTAAAACAGAAACTGCTAATAAAGATACAAGGATGAGTGCCTGGTCCTTACATCCTCTTCTTCCACTTCCACCGATGTTCTATGTAATGGTCCTTACATCCTCTTCTTCCACTTCCACCAATGTTCTATGTAATGGTCCTTACAGCCCCTTCTTCCACTTCCACTGATGTTCTATGTAATGGTCCTTACAGCCTCTTCTTGCACTTCCACTGATGTTCTATGTAATGGTCCTTACAGCCCCTTCTTCCACTTCCACTGATGTTCTATGTAATGGTCCTTACAGCCTCTTCTTCCACTTCCACTGATGTTCTATGTAATGGTCCTTACAGCCCCTTCTTCCACTTCCACTGATGTTCTATGTAATGGTCCTTACAGCCCCTTCTTCCACTGATGTTCTATGTAATGGTCCTTACAACTCCTTCTTCCACTTCCACTGATGTTCTATGTAATGGTCTTTACATCCTCTTCTTCCACTTCCACTGATATTCTATATAATGGTCCTTACAGCCCCTTCTTCCACTTCCACCGATGTTCTATGTAATGGTCTTTACATCCTCTTCTTCCACTTCCACTGATGTTCTATGTAATGGTCCTTACATCCTCTTCTTCCACTTCCACCGATGTTCTATGTAATGGTCCTTACATCCTCTTCTTCCACTTCCA